CGGGCCAGAGTGGGACAGGTGCCACAAGCAGGTGCTGCTTCGTCCCAGTGTGACAGCCCCCTCTCTGTCTCCCAGACCTGTGCAGCGGTGGGGACCTGCCGGAGGTGGAGATCGTGAGCCTGCTGCAGGAGAGGCTGCCCCTCTACACCCTGCGGGCCGACTGCCTGTTCGGCTACGACCACGACGACTGGCTGCACACCCCCCTGCTGCCCCCCGAGGCAGCGCTGCAGCTCACGCCCCAGCAGATCGAGGAGACCCTCAAATACTTCTGTGAGTCCCCCGTGTGCAGCACCAGCCTGCTGTCTTACAGCACAGCACACTGGGACATAGAAGAGGACAGCACTGCACACTGGGACACAGCACAGCACACTGGGACACTGCACAGTACAGTACAGCACAACACATTGGGACACAACAGAACACTGGGACACAGTACAGTACAGCACAACACACTGGGACACAGCACAGCACACTGGGGCATAGAACAGGACAGCACAGCACACTGGGACACTGCACAACACACTGGGACACTCACAGTACAGTACAGCACAACACACTGGGACACAACAGAGCACTGGGACACAGTATAGTACACTACAGCACAACACACTGGGACACAGTATAGTACACTACAGCACAACACACTGGGACACAACAGAACACTGGGACACAGTATAGTACACTACAGCACAACACACTGGGACACAGTATAGTACACTACAGCACAACACACTGGGACACAACAGAACACTGGGACACAGTATAGTACACTACAGCACAACACACTGGGACACAACAGCACACTGGGACACTGCACAGTACAGCACAACACACTGGGACACAGCAGAACACTGGGACATAGAACAGTACAGCACAACACACTGAGACATAGAACAGGACAGCACAGCACACTGGGACACAGCACAGCACACTGGGACAGTTCCCCTGAAGCCTGGATATAAATTCTGTTTTCGAGTTCCAGAATAATTAGATTAGGATTGAACAATGTGTGTCTGTAGAGCCAGAACTGTGCACTAGAGGGCAGCAGACTCCCAGTCTGTGGCCATGTGAGCTACACTCCACAGCACAGAAACTGGCACATGCCCGGGCAGCAGAGCCCGGAGCGCCCACAGGTTGGGTTGTGTCCATCGCCTCTGCCTCTGTGTTTGCTTGTCAAGAACCCAATGAATGTTTGCACATGGGTGACTTATTATTTTAAATGTCCTTTCTGAATTTAAGGACAGGCGCCTCTGTTCTACTGGGGTGCAGCCCAGCTCGGCTCTGTCATTAGGAGAGGGATCTCCAGACGCCCCAGACTGAGTGGGTCCGATAGGGCCTGGGCTGGTTCTGGTTCTGGCATGGCTGCACAAGGACTTAGACATGGTTGCTCTGTTTCAGAGCTGGGATTCACTCATCTTGACGGGATCTTACTGTTCTGCTGGGCTTTCAGGTTGTGGGCTAAAGGACAAAACGGACTGTTTGTCTTCCTTCAGGTGTCTCTCAGACAATCCCTGTCGTTGAACACAGGAACGTGAGAAAGGTTACAGACGCCGGACTCCGGTCCTGATCAAGTCCGCGGTGTTGGCTTTGTCAGCCCTTGAGGGGTCTGAGTGCTCGGGTCAGGTCCCCTCGTAGTCTTTTCTGCAACTCTTCTCAGGACGAATACGATCAGTTCCTTCAGCCTATCAGAGCAGAATATTCCCTGGAGCCCAGGCAGAGGCTGAAGCTGTTGTGCTTTACCATGACCCATTACCTGGATAGAAGTGGGCTGGTAATTATAAACCAGCATCGGAGCAGGTTCTTGGCCATTTCTCACCACCTTTTCATTTTCATGAAGAAAACAACCGCCGTGTGTAATTTCAGACAGTGGGGGGAAGCAGGGAACTATCACAGGCGGTTCCTTGGGAAACAATGTTTCGTTTCTCCTGAAGTAGGGCAGCTCAGTGACTTCTGGGGAGATCTAGCTCTGTGATAAACAGGAAGCACGCCTTTAAAAAAGGTTAAGAAAGGTTTTAAGCATGCCCAGCCTGCAGACAGATGGCACAGATTACAAGGCGGCGAATGGCAAGACAGTCCTGATGCTGCCAGTGTCACACTGATGAAAGAGGACCAGTGGTGTAGATGTTCGGACCCTGTGCGGCGCCAACAAGAATCAGGTCAGACTTCCAAGGGACGAGAGACGAAGTTC